CTTGTCCAACTCCACTGTTTACAGTATAAATGCTTGTGTGAGAATTCAGAGACCTAATTTGTTGTATCCTATCGTGTGCTGAAGTTGGCTCATACTGTACAAGCTCTTGAGAGCTGATAATTAAAAACATTTTTCAAGCTGATTGGTTGTTAAGCATAATTATTATTAACATTGAAATTGTATAAACATTTACATAGATTAATTAAATTAACAGAGATGACACATTCCTGAAACTTCACATTTCATAATTATTTCACTAAATTTTACTGTTACCTGTGCTCTCTGAACATTATGTTTATTATTTCTGTATGGGGCAAATACTCTGTAATGGTGTAGCACTGCATGGTGAACTCCACATTCAACTTCAAACTGGTAGTTTAAAATTGTCCAGAGTGGGAATATTTATACCACAGAAATTAGCAAATGATACAAATCAGAGCTCCTCCTCCCACTCTTCCATGTCCATGATTCTCTTACAGAGTGGTCTAAAAGATTACATCAGTCAACTTTCTTCACCAGATGACCTGAAATCTTCTTAGGTGGTCCATTGACCATGCTAGAGAAACCACCTGTTGGAACAGTGGATTTGAATGCACACCTGTTCACTTTTTTCCCAATACAGCAGCCAAGGGATGCAGAGTAGCCTGTAAGGCTGTAATTTTCAGTCAAAGGAGCATGTCTCATGGCAAAAATTCCCTTTTGAATAGGTGAAACTACCACTTGTTTTATTGTGGTAAGAAACCTTTGGACCCAATGTGTCCTTGAATTTTGGAATATCAAGAGAATAATTAATTTCAAATAATATTAAGTGATAAAAGGGAATAGGTAGATTTTATTAGAGAAATAAATTTCTGATCTTAAAACATGCAAAAGAATTTCAAAATATTTCTATTAACTTTATTTCTTTCACACATGCTTTTTTCTTGATATATTGACTTAGGGTAAAAAACTGCCAAAAGGCTATGTTGTCTATTTTTTAAGGAAGGGTGGGGGAAAAGAACTTTGGCTCCATTTTATGGCCATAAACCATGCCCAGGGTTTGTATGTGCTCAGTAAAAGAACTGCACTTCACATGTGTTTGTGTGTATGTCCATGCTTACTGAAGTCTTTAGATATTCTTTGGGATTCACCAAATGTACTTAATGAAAATTAATTCTGACAGCTTGTTTCTTCCCTTTTCAACATTTCTAGTAAAAGGTAAATGTCATAGTCTTCTGTCTAATCATGAAAGTATAGCTCATTGCACAAGTTATCTTCTCTGCGAATGTTACATTGTACCGTACAGAAAATATTTAAATCAATGTATTTGAGCTTTAATATGAATTTTTTGTCTTCTAGAACAGTCATTTTTTTGCCATACTTTATGTAAAGTAACAACCTGGAAAAGGAAAAAAACAGAGACATTTTAATGAGTCCTTTTTTATCTCAGTTCGTTGTGGTGTAGTGGACAATAATATTATATACATATATAATATTACACATATATACATACATGTAGTGTATACTATATGCATATATGGCATATATGTGTATATATTGTATGTGTATATGGTATATATGTATATATAGTATATATGTATGTATGGTATATATGTCTATAGTGTATATATGTATATAGTGTATATATTTATATATAAAGTATATACAGTGTAATATATGATGTTTTAAATTGTGAAATGATCACAACAAGGTAATTAACATGCCCTTGACATCACATGGATTCTTTTTGAGGGGTGTGAGAACATTTAAGATCTACCCTCTTAACAATTTTCAAGTATACAGTATATTAGTTACATTTTCTCTGTCCATTCATCCATCAGTGAACACTTAAGTTGATTAAGTATATTGACTCTTGTGAGTAATGTTGTGAACATGAGAGTACAGATAGCTCTTTGCATACTGATTTCATTTTCTTTGGATATCAGCCCTAAAGTGAGATTATTGGATCAAATAATTGTCCCAATTTTATTTTTTTGAGGGATTACATTTTATATTCCAAAATATTTCCACTAATATTCTCACTAAAAATGTACAATAATCCCCTTTTTTCTATACCTTCTTCATCATTTATCTTTTTCCTTTTGGATAACTCAGTATGTTTTGGTTTGCAATTTTCTGATGACTAGAGATGTTGAGCACCTATTCCTATGCCTGTTGGCTTTCTGAATTTTTTTAAAGATTTATGTATTAGGTCATTTATCCATTATTGTTTGGGTTATTTGTATTTTTTATATTGAATTGAATGAGTTACTTATATGTTTTGGATATTAATCTTTATCAAATGCATAGTTTGCAATATTTATTTTCCTATTCCATAAGTTACTTTTTAGCTTATTGATTATTTTATTTGCTGTGCAGAATTAGTTCATTTTTACTTTTGTTGCCTACATTTTTTGGTGTCATATGAAAACATGTTTGCTCAGACTAATATCAAGCTTTTTCCCTATTCTTTGTTGGAGTAGTTTTATAGTTTCAAGTCTTACATTTAAGTCCTTAAATCCATTTTAAGTTGATTTTATATATAGTTTAAGATAAAGTTCTACTTTTATTCTCCTTCATGTGCTTCTCCAGGTTTCTTGATGTGTGTATTGAAGAGACTGTCTTTTCCTGTTGTCCATTCCTGGCAGCTTTGTTGAAGATCAGTTGATCTTGAATGAAGGGGATTATTTCAGGGATCTCTATTATGTTCTATTAGCCTATGTGTTTTCACTCCGGGACATGGTGTAGTATACCTTTGCAGTGCATTTTGAAGTCAAGTATGTAATACCTCAGCTTTGTTCCTTTTGCCCACGATTGCTATGGTTATTCAAAGTCTTTTGTGATTTCATAGGAATTTTAGGATTTATTTTTATGTCTATGAAACATGCCATTTTAATTTTGATAGAGATGGTTTTCAACGGGTCACTTTGGTTAGTATGGACACAATTCATGAACATAAGATATGCTTCCATTTATTTATGTCTTCAATTTCTTTCATCAGTGTTTTATAGTTTTCAATATATAGATCTTACCTCCTTGATCAAATTTATTCTTTTACTTTTTTGATGCTATTATAAATGAGATAGTTTTCTTCTTTTTCGAGTGGTTCATTGTTACCATATAGAAATGCTACTGAATTTTGTAGTTTGATTTTTGCATTCTGCACCTTCATGGAAAAGTTCTAATAGTTTATTACACCTATTAGTAGTTCAAATAGTTTTTAAGATTTTCTGTATATAGACTGTGCCATATGCAAAGAGAGATAGTTTTTATTCCTTTCAATTTGGATAGCTTGTATTTTTCTTATCTTGTTGTTCTGGGTAACACTTTAGTACTATGTTGAATAGAAATAAGAACAAATGCAACGGGTTTGTCCGTTGTAGCAAGTATACTGGTGGTAATTCTTAAAGCAAAACATCTCCCCAACAAAAAAAGGAAGGGGCTTTTATTGGAGAATTTTATGCATATTTATACAGGAAAGACTAAGCATCACATGTAGAAGTAGCACATGTGCAGTTCTTGATCATGTGTAATTCTCCAATTGAGATCATCCTTCTTCATACCTTGGATATTTAAAAATGGCCAATAGAGCACCTCTTAGGCTGAGAATTTGGCATTATACCAAGATTATAAATCTACTCTTGGTCACTTAGGAGGTGGAAGGTATAGGAAGACTCCTGGTGTTTTCTTCTGGAGGGCCTTCTCTGAAAACCAAATAACACCATTGAAGGAGAGCTAACATTACTATTTGTTTAAAAGGGCCGCAGCTTTCCCCAGTGTAAGTGTAGGAGCTTGTTACTAACCATGGCTGCCTAGCAGCTAATAGAGTGATGACAGTAGACACCCTTGTCTTATTCTTGATCTTAGAGGAAAAGCTTTCAACTTTACCTGTAAAGGGTAGTGTTAGCTGTGGGCTTGTTATATATGGTCTTTACTATGTTGAGGGATATTCTTTCTATGCTAAATTTGTTGAGAGCTTTTATTATAAAAAAAAGTTGCATGTTGTCAAATGCTTTTCTGCTTCTGTTAAGCTCATTCTATGATTTTTATCCATTTTGTTAATACAGTGCCTCCTATTAATTGATTTGTCAGTGTTAAACCATCCTTGTTCCCCATAGATAAATCCCACTCAATCATGGTCCTGATTTTTTAATATTCTGTTGAATTGTTGAGATTTTTACATGTATGATCATCAGGGATATTGGCCTATAATTTTATTTTCTTGTAGTGCCTTTGTCTGACCTGGTAAAATGAATTTGGAAGTGTTCCCTTCTCTTCAATGTTTTTGGAAGTGATTGAGAAGGTTTTGCATCCGTTTTGTTTGTTTGTTTGTTTGTTTACCAATTTATTAGACTTTACCAGTCAAACCACTAAGTCCTGGGAGTAGGAGTTTTAAAGTCTTATTCTGAGGATGGTAATAAAAAGATCAACACTCTCACATTCCACTGAGAAAAAAAATTGAGTGATATTTTTAGAAAAGCATCTTTCAGTCTAGAAACTATTAAAATTTTGGAATTTCTACATATTGAAATTATTGAATCTATTCCACAGGTCTAAACACAAGATAAGTGGTTAAGATTGGTATATGTGTTGTCTTGGCTTGATCACAGCGCAATTAAGCAGCAAGATACTAAAGTTCACTTCCCGGGCTAAGAATCAAACCATGGCTCACTAACACAGCTGTCTGCTTTTCAAAGTGCAGTTTTTGTTCAGTTTTGTGATATTTTGAAGAAATGGAAAACACAGCCTTGTGTATTTAGACACATACACATAATGCTAGCTGAATATTAGCAACCTAAATTTAGCTCTCAAATCATTATATTAAAATTATAAGGATATTAAATGACAAAACATTAATTTTACTGTAAAGATACAGAATTGGCATTGCTATGTTAGCGAAACAAAAGCTCTTTGTAAAACTAAAAGCTTTACTATTTGGAAATATGTACTACATTTATTTGAGTTTTATCTGCCACTCTTTTAGATTGTCACTATTGTAATGTATTTTTCTGTATTTTTAGTTACTGATAAACATCAATTTAAGCCAGAGCAGATGTTATATAGATTCCGCTATGATGATGGTACATTTTACCCAAGAAATGAGATGCAGGATGTGATTTCAAAGGTAATGACTTCTCCTAGTACTTCTTCAGTGGCAGAATTTGTATTGTCATACTTGGGAAGGATAAAGAAATGTAGTGGGACTTAAAAAACTTCTTTGAGTATAGAAAATTCTTAAATTACAAATACAAGCAAGCCTTTTTTATTTTTTATTTTGATATTTCAGAAATTTCAATGTTAGGTCATGTCTTCCTTCTCTTATCAAGTTCTAAGTGGAAATTAAGCTATTTATTATCTCAATCAGAAAACTATCACATATAGCAACATATGATCATGATACTTGAATAAATTTAAAAATTCAAATATAAAAACTAAATGCAATAACAGTTTTGATTGTACACTTCAAAAAATTTATATTGCCATAATGAATACATATCCTGGATTTGTTACTGTATAGGTTTTCTTTTGCTTAAATTGTGTCTTGAAATTTTATATTTTAAGTAAAATAATTTAGAGAAATCATTGCACATGTCATATGTGACAAATTCATGGCAAAATTTAACCTGTTTTAAAGGATTTCAGCCATTATTTGTATGATATATTGTAACATTTGAATAACTTTTAATGAGACTATGTAATGACTTCAGGATATTAAAAGTGGATTCATTTGTTTTTTCAAAATTTTGTTGACATTTGGTGCTCTTACCTGCTTTTGACATATCTTTATATCACACAGGGTGTGAGATTATATTGTCGTCTTCATAGTCTTTTTACTCCAGTAGTAAGGTGAGTCTGGTTTCTAAGTTCCAAAAATTTCAAGTGGAAATGTTTACTTTGCATATTAGAACTTGTCTTATTTTATTTCTCTTTGGAAGTGAAAATTTAACTTTCAAATACTATTTTAAGCAATCACTTATCTTAAAATAGCCCTAAACTTTTCTGAGCCTAATTTTAAAATACCTTCTGCTTTATAAATTATGATTTTCTAAAATTATTTTGCTATTCATTCACAGTCAGTTAAGGACTTGAAAATGAAATAATCCACATTCACATTTTCATAATGAAAATAATTGACTGAGAGAGGATTCAGAAATATTCTCCATATATATCATTAATGACCCTTTTTAAATTTTTTATTAAATTTTGGAATCAAGTAATAAATACAATCAAGTTAATATTTTTATAATTTTATGCTTCAGTATATTTTTGCTTGTAAAGAGAAATGATGTTTTAAAAGAGGAATAAGGGTTAATTTCTAATTTATATCTTTAGAAAGAAAAAGGTGGATTTTGAGTTTTGTATTATGATTACTAATAGAAGAGATTGTCAGGAATATACTTTTGCAATACCCACAGATACATGTGTATTAACTGATACAAGGATAAATTAATTTCAAATAAGTAGATATTATTAGAAGTTTATTTGTAAGCTAATCATATTGTCAGAACAAAAATGCGTGTACCAATTCTGAAGTAAATAAACACATCTTTTCAGTGTTGGCTATGGAATCCAAATGTATGATGTGTGCAGTATTTCTATTTTCCATTTTGGTGTTCAATTCCATGGAAATGCCGAAAAAAGAGAGATTCCAGAAATTGCTAAGTATCTTGGTATCCACTTTCACACTGTGTAAACACACTGTGTGCAGGTCCTGGAGGAGAACACAGGATCTTACCCATAACTCCTGAAGTGTCTGTTTTTTTTTTTTGTTTTGGTACCCGGGACCAGGGATTGAACTTGTGACCTTGTGCTTGTAAGGCAGGTGGTGGAACCACTGAGCTAAATCCCCAGCCCAGTCTGAAATATCTACTTTTATAAGTTGGCTTCCCAAAATAGAAAAAGGTAGAAAAGTGAATATATATAATTTTATTCCATAATCCTCTTAAATTAGAGATAATTGTATTCATAATCTTCTTTAAATATTTTGGATTACTTCATACAAGTACTTAATACTTAACAGCAATACTTAATAGCAAATTAATAGTAATACTTAATACTTCATAGCAACTGAGTACTTATTTTTTTCTGCTAAATTAGAAAACAGTAATTTATTTACTACTTACTTGACATTTAGGTCTCCATGTCATCTGGATATGTGTAGATTGTTTTCTACATGTGAGCATGTGCTCTGAAAATACATTTCATCCATATGGATTTTTCACCTGAGCTGAGAAGAAGGAATTGTTCTCTAGTTAGAAATACCAATTTTTATGACTTGTTAAGGGAGTAATTAAGGAGAAAGAACCCATAAAGCAAATGGAATATAAGATAGTCATGCTTTTAATGGGGGTGACTTCAGTTTATGTAAAAAAAATATGTGGTGTGAGAAACCCCAGGCGGACATGTGGCGTATAGTAGACTATGCTTTTCTCTTATTGATGCTTATAGAAACCAATATAAAATGACTAACACTATGTCAGAAACATGAAAATAGATTTAAAAGATTAAAAAAACTATCACTGATTACTGGCTAAGCTTATTCACTTATTATTGAAATCTCATAAATTTCAACCATACTTCAGAGTTTTTATGCAAGTGAGTAAAAGAATGTAAATATTAATCTTAAGTTACTGACAGGAGCTAAAGTACAGTGAATGTAGCTAGTAATTACCAGTCACTTCAAGTGTTTTACAGCTTGCATATTTTGACATTTTCAAACGACCATGATTTTCTTATTTCCTTTTGATCCCTGCCTGGAAAATGAATGCATAATAAATTTCTGCCCTTAGGCCCACGACTGATCATGAGACTTTGTTGGTATCTGACTACACTTTGAATGATTTCTCAGTTCTGGGGAAGTTTGCTGAATGGGTAGTCTGATATGGAGAGCCAGTTCACTGGGGATGAGGTTTCACTATGTCCGTGATCTATCTGATCAGAAAAAAAGGAATGACAAATTCTATGTGTGTTTACTTCATGACAAGACTGCAGGTTTCCCATGACAGCAGAGCCATGTGAATACTCCTTTAGGGCAAATCCTGCCTTCCTGGAGAATGCAGAAGCAGGAAAAAGGGTGTTGCTTTATTCTCCACATTTTGAGAATTTAGCAGAATCTGTCACAATTTAATAAGAGATAAAATTCTGTTTTATTATGATTTTATTAATAACATATTTATATTTAAGTTATTGCAAGACATAGCAGTAATAATCTATTTGTATATAGGAAAATGAAAGAGGAGATGTGCATTTTTAGTGTGGTTGTGTGTCTTTTTCCTCTTGTTTGAACTGATGAAGCATTTTTCAGGTTTTGTACATGCTTTACAAACCACACTACTTGCACACAGCCCGGGAAATTGGTAAACTTCTGTTGTTCATTGGCACTAAATGAAAATATTTCCTTGTGTTCACATATCCTTTGTATAACATTTTTTATTTCTGCATGTCATATTTTTTATTTCTTTTTCTTTTATAGAGATAAAGATTACCATTTGAGGACCTACAAATCTGTGGTCATGGCCAACAAATTGATAGACTGGTTAATTGCACAGGTAAATAGACAAGTTGCTGAATTTTATTTACTGCTGCTTTAAATTTTGAGCATGTGCATGTGAATTAGGTACCTCACCCCTTAACATCTTAAAGATAAAACACAGTGAAGTAATTTGCCCAGGTTCATGTAGAATCAGGATTGAGTTTAGAATGTCTAACTTCAGAGTTCTAAAACTAACGTTTTGTGATATCTTCTCTTTCAAAAGTAGGATGTTCCTATTTTTAAAATAACAGCTGAGATTTATCAAAAACCACTAAGCATAATTTGAGTATCACTGAAGAATTACTATGTTCAGACACTAGTGGTTTTTGCATTTTTCACTTACTTGTTTTAAAATATGTTTACCAGTCCTCGCAAATGATTAAAATCTTCCAGTGCCTTTTTCCCTGTTAGATAGCAATTGTGCTTTGATGATATGAGCTTTAATATATACTTTAAATAAAGAAGCATATATTTCATTGTCATTGTTGCTCTCCTTCTGATATGGATGCTGAGAATTGGTATTGAGAAAATGTAATTTTTTATAAGTAAAACAAATTAAGATATGTAGTTTATCATAGTAGCTACCCAAATAGAAACTTATTGAGATACTTTCTTCTACTAGGTGAACTAATAAATGAATGACTACATTCCATTGATTAAAGAAAAGGCAGAAAAACTGATAACCACTTTAACTAAACATACTGTTTGGGGGAGAGGATACTGCTTGGTTGAAATACAAATTACTACACTTGGATATTTAAGTCAGTTTCTTAAATATGGTATCTGCCTTCAAGGGGCTATTGGTCAGTTGGCCTAATATTTTATATTTCCTTCAAAGTCCTGCTTAAGCATCATCTCCTCAGGAAGCCTTACAAGTTTCACAACCCTAGGGTCTTTTTCTGTGGTCCTAGTTCTCTGGGTATATTTGCCTGATTGGGACTATTGAGTGAAATAGGTAATGATAATGACTATGTACCACATTTTAAGTGACTAAAATCCTTCACTAGATTCAAATTAATAGAAGGCGGGAAAATTTGTTATGTTTGAATGTTTTAATATTTGATCTCTAGTACTTAACACAATATGTAGAAAATATAAATATTGCTTGAATGAATTCAGAAAACAGAATTTAGAAAATAGCCAGATATTTGAAGAGGGCATGATACACAGTCTGAAGCTGCAGTTTGTAAATATTTGGGGAGTTATTAGGGCTGCAGTTTTCACAGCATGAGCTGGAACGTTCGATCCCCGGTACCAAAAACAAAACAAAACAAAACAAAACAAAACAAAACAAAACAAGACAGATAGGTAGTATTTAAATGGGTGCAGGGTATTGATATCTGGACTGTAAATATGAAAATTACTTGACTGACTGCAATGATGGCAATGACAGTGTTCAGGCAACACTAGGCAGGCCAAGTTGACTAGAGCAAAAGGGATGGGTTTTAAGCTTTGGAAAATGAGCCCAGAGAGAGAATAAAACCAGGACAAGGATGGTCTTGCAAGACCCACTGAAAATTTTGATATGCTGTGATTATTTTAAAAATAGGATCTCTTTAAAGTTTTGGAAGATGCGATTGCTATGTAAGAAAATCTGATTCTATAATTCCTATGTTAGAGAGAGTGCAGGAAAAAATATGGTAATTTAGACAAGGGATAAAAAACCATCAGTTTATAGCACTGACCCTAGAAATGGAACAAGATGAAAGAATAGATTTGATAAGAGTACCTAAATGGTAAAATATAAGACGAGGAAAAAATGAGATGATATGCTAAAAAAAGCTTCTTTAACTGTAAAATGTACAACTTTGACGTTATACACACACAAAGATACATAAATGTTCATATGTGTCTGTAATGAAGTAAATGTTTCTATATCAAAACCATATGAAAGAGCTGCTTTGGGCTATTTTGTTGGGTTCAGTTGCACAGTCTGGTTATTTTTTTTAACAAAATAATGAAAGAGAAGCTTTCATTTGCTGGCTCAGCCAAACAATTTATTCTTAAGGTCTTACAAGTCACCATAGATTAATAGGTTGCTGTAGGAGCCCTTCAAGAGCAAGGACATTTGGTGGGAAGGAAGAGTGAGCGGCCGAGATCATCTACCATGGTTTTTACTTACCTTAATATACTGTGTTATCAATTTACAGGCGATTTCCCTGTTGCTTATTTGTAATATAAAATGTAAAAAATAACAGGAAGGAATAATCTATAATAGCAAGAATATTTTATAGTTGTATGCTTTCATTTTCTTTCTTTCTTTCTTTCTTTCTTTCTTTCTTTCTTTCTTTCTTTCTTTTTTTTTTTTTTTTTTTTTGGTACCAGGAATCAAACTCAGGATCTTGTGCTTGCAAGGCAGGCACTGGAACCACTGAGCTAAATCCCTGGCCCACTATACTTTCATATTTAATGAAATGTTTTTCTCAAGAAATAGTAAATGTTTTTCATGTGATGTTTTCATATTAAGTGAATGTAATTCATTTCGTGAATTAGAAGCATCCTGTCTTGTGTAGCAGTTGGTGCTGTTATATTAGAATGGCTTTGTTGGACTATAATGCTATGAATGTCAAATGTATTAGAGATGCACTAAGCAGGACCAGTGGTACACACCAATTATCTAGAACTCTGGGAGGCTGAGGCAGGAAGATCTCAAGTTCAGGGCTCAGACTGTGTAATTCAGTGACTCAGTGATATCCTATCTCAAATTAAAAAAGAAACTGAAAAGGTCTAGGGATGTATCCAGGGTTCTGGGTTCAATCCCACGTACCCAAAAAACAGTCAAAACAGACCGAGATTATATTAATATATGATCTGGATAATACAATCGCAGTGTGTTGCTTTGACATGTTGATTTATTAAACCATAACAAATTCTTCTTGAAATAACATATAAATAATATGTGATTTCTTTAAAATGTCAAAAAAAAAAAGAAAGAAAAGATAGATGCAGCAAGCCTTCTTTTCCCTATAAACTGACATAGTGCTTTTTTGGTTACAGGGGGATTGCCGCACTAGAGAAGAGGCAATGATATTTGGAACTGCGCTCTGTGACAATGGATTTATGCACCACGGTAGGGATTGATGTATTGGATTTACGCACCATGGTAGGGATTGATGTATTGCATTGTTTTGGTTCTTCTTAGGACTTGGGAATATCTCAGCGCTCCAGTGAAGTCGAGAGGAACCAGGAAGACTGTGTGGGTCTTGTCATGGGATCTTATTGAGCTGTCTTATGATGGGTCCTTATTAATCGGCTGCAATTGATTTGTTTGTTGCAATTTTGCTATTCTACCAGTTGTTCTGACTTCTCTCTTATTTTCTAGACTATGCTGATTCCAGAAGAGTAATGAGTTGAGCTAGAAGTTTTGTTTTTTAAAAAATTCACGTACCTCTTTGAATTGATTTCAGATTACACTCATGGTTTTTTGAATGACAGTGTGTAGTAGAATGATTAAATGAGAACATATGTGACTGAATATTTATTGTTCTTTTTAGGAAAATATATTCAAAAATTACCTTAGAGAATTAAATTATAGACTCTGGAAAATTTTTTTTTAACCATTAGAAATCAATTCTTTTTTTCTGGTGTCTTTGGATAAGTCATAAAGTACATAGCACAGTAATGTATGCACACCCATGTTTATAGCAGCACAGTTTTGTGGGGGTTTTTTTAGCAGCACAGTTTTTAATAGCTAAATCTTGGAAACAGCCCAAATGCCCATCAACCAACGAATGGATAAAGAAGATATAGTTTGTTTATACAGTGAAGTACTACTCTGCCATAAAGAAGGATGAGCTTGAGACATTTATAGCTAAATTGATGCACCTTGAGACCATACTCTCAAGTGAAATAAATCAGACACACTTTCAATATGCATTGTTTCTCTGGTGTGAGAAACCGAAACTGGAAATAAAGACTGAAATATTTAACAGATATTGGGAAATGGGAAGAAAATGTTCAAAGGAGAAGGGGAACAAGAGAGGGGTGAAGGAGAAAGGAAAGAAGGGACAAGAAAAAAAGAAAGAAAAAAGGGAAACGAAGCTTTTGTAAATATGAAGAAGAGGGGGCCAAAGGCAGGGAGAGGAATAAGAAAAAAAGAAGCAAGATATATTATGTACAGGTACACACTCCCTATGATGAAGCAAGAGTTTTTGTTTTGTTTTGTTTTGTTTTGTTTTTGCAGTGTGATTCTTGGATTTATCAATGCAACAAGATGTGTTTTTTTCCTCTCAAATTGTAGCATCTTATAGAGTCCATAAACCAAAACACTGTCTTTTCCAGTGTTAGTATAATGTGCTTATAAATACAAATTTAATAGTGCTTGTATAATTGTCGATTACTTTCAGAAGATTACTATACTTTTATTTTGAAAGAAAGTAGAGCAGTATCTCCAGCAGTTTGAAACCCTCCTTGGCTGTCATATATTTCATGGGGAATTCCATACCATCTCACTCTGTCTAGACCACTTTTTGAGTTTTATGGGACAATACTCATACCTGAAGAACAAACTATTGAATGGAAGGAATGGAAGCATTTTAGGCTATTAAAACTAATATCAAGCTGAAAACCCTCAAAAGCTTCAGCTATTTTTCTCTTTAACATGAAGCATCAGTGAATAATAATTTTATCTAAGCATTTATTATAAAAAATTGAGTAACAATAAAAATTATTCCTACAAAAATCTATTGGTAAAATAAAACTCATCGATTCCTGCCTACCTGGCAATATGCCCTCTCCTGTTCCTTTGATGGATCATTTGGAGGAGGAAAACAGCTGTACCAGAAACTTTCATGTGAGCTTCAGAAACTGCTTAGGTCATTTAGGCAAGACTTCACTCAACCCAGAGTATATTTTCATTTTTTTTTAATTTGTCAGCCATGGCTTGTGTTTCCTTTCCTTTGAGACTGATAGATTTATTTGGTAACTCATGTTGCCAGCCAGTCCATCTATCTGGTCAACATCTGTCGGAATTCTGTAAAAATCATGAAATAAAATAGCTGTATTTTTTTATTATTTACCGTATGCCAAGTTATTTACATGTCTTACCTCATTTTAGTTTAATGCAACATTATGAAGATTTTATTGCCCTCATTTTACATTTGAGAAACTGAAGTTCAGAGAGTTTAAGTAATTTCGCCATTATCACACCCAGAATTAGTCCCAGACCTGGACTGATTCGTCACAAAGCCTGACTCTTTCTATTATGCTCTAGAACCACTGTTTTCCCTTTAGCTCTTGCCTGTGTGAATCAGCCTATCTCAACAAGTACACTTCAAGGTGCTAAGGACATGTGAATTAGAAATAGAGATTTCCCTCTTAAAGCATTTTGACAGCTGCCAGGATCTCATTCCGTATAAAGTCTTCCTATCGGTATTTAACCTTAGTTTGAACCAGACAAACAAAACATAAACCTTATGTCATCAATGTGTGTCAGGAATCTTAGGGGATTTGAAGAAAAGTATTAATGTTAAGATAAAGAGGTGGGGCTGGGGATTTAGCTCAGTGGTTTCACTGCCTGCTGCGCAAGCACAAGGACCAGAGTTCCATCCCCGGTACCAAAAAAAAAAAAAAAAAAAAAAAAAAGATAAAGAGGAGAAAAAGACCTTGGTGGAAATAAGATTATTTGAGAATATTGCTTTTAACAGAAAAAAACTAGGAGTTCATGGGAATTAAAAAACACATTTCACCCAGAAGACATATTTCTGGTTTGGTATGTTAGAACCAAAGTGATCCCAATGAGAATTGCTCACACATTCTAGAAGGATAACACTTAACCTATTTTAATTTTCCTATAATTGTGCAGATATTAAAAGCATGATTAAAATTTTCACTACAAGTTGAAAACATGACAGGGTTTTATGTAAAGATTTCATGCATTCCAGGATTCATTGCAAGTTTTACTTAAACTTGTATTTTAATCTGTACGATGACACACTTGGTTAAGTCCAAAATGTTAGCCTTAGAAAATACTATTTATTTAAAAATCCAAAAACTTTAGGTAACATTATTTTAAAGAAATTGTCTTGAAATTATAGAAATAAATAGAAGCTATGTCTAACATGTCCTAAGAGTACAAAGTTAAAATTATGAACCGGTATTTATGTCTATTGGCATGGAAAATGACAACTTAAATCTCTGTTTCTACAGTCCTTGAAAAAAGTGAATTCAAAGATGAACCCCTGCTTTTCCGGTTTTTTTCGGATGAGGAAATGGAAGGATCAAATATGAAGCATCGACTCATGAAACATGATTTAAAAGTTGTGGAAAATGTTATAGCTAAATCTCTCCTGGTAAGTTTATTCATTTATTATATAACTTTTCTTCTTGAGTAGACATTAGCAGGAGACTTCATATTTGATGGTGACGAATATTACTTCATTCTATTTTATTTTTAAGTTTTTCATAGTTGTCAATAATGTTAATATTTTTCTTTTCAGATTAAATCTAATGAAGGCAGCTATGGCTTTGGGCTAGAAGACAAAAATAAAGTTCCAATAATAAAGATGGTAGAAAGGGGGTCTAATGCTGAGGTAATGCCTATTATCATCTATTCAAATTTGTTGTCATGATATACAAACATAAAAGTTGTAAAGAAATTGAAATCAACTGTTGAGTATCTTTATTGAAGATGTTGTCTCTGGATAATTTTACTTTGAGCTTCTACCAAATACCCTTGGTATTTCTGACAACTACTCTTTTGTTAAGTGCTCATGGGTAATTGAGGAGAGGGTGCTATTCAGAGGTCTACAGCTGTGAATTTTTGGACCTGCCAGGAGGCCAGGTGGCTCCATATTTGTTTCTGGGACTTCCCTGGCCACAAATTCCAACTGGAACCCTGTGGACGCTGCCTGGGATATGACTGATTATACTACGTATGTCATATGGTTCTTCTTTCCAGACAAGGACTCTGTCTTATATTTTCCTAGTGCCTTTGTCTTTCCTGTGACTATAACTTCCATTAGTAAAGCATGTGCTTTGACTTATTTTCTCATTGGGTTAATACTGATTGACATTGTCTCACTTCACTGGGCTTTTAAACAGAAGAATCTCCTGATCATTCACATATTCATTCAAAATCTTCATTTAATAGCTGTTATATGCTAAGCAGTGTTCTGGGCTCTTGGAATACAGCAATAAGCAAAATAGACAAAATTTCTTAACCTAATGGAGCCTGTTTTTAAGTGCTGTTTTCCAAGTGTATAAAGTCTAAAATATTATTGTATTGCTCCCCGACTTGTAGAATACTTAATCTTCAGACAATCAGCTCAACATTCAGATCTTTAATACAGAATGAGAGAATTAGGGAAATAAAAGTCTGAATTCATTTAGTTAGTGGTAAATTGTTACCCATCCTCCTATCCACTAATGCCCAAGGTCTCTGTCTTTTGCTAAAACACACATTTGTGCAAGTTAAAGCTTTAATAGCACACTCAATTCAAACAAAAAAACTCCTCTTGACTCATATTCTGTCAGTAGACCTGGTCAATAAATGACCATAGTTAGTAATTTTCTGTGAGAAAGAGATTTTTCTCCCAGGCATTTTCAGAACATCCTCTTAGGGTACAGCTTCATGTGGCTATGTGGTTGATAAAAAGTCCTCTCCCAGTGTTCATCATTTAGCTAGAAGCCAAAAGAAGTTTATAGTCAGTAGGGCTGGTTAAAAAGAGTGTCTGAGCTGGGTGCAGTGGCGCATGCCTGTAATCCTAGCATTGAGGGAGACTGAGACAAAAGAATCACAAGTGTAAGTCCTGCAGGACAGCTTAGTGAGACCCTGTCTCAAAATAAAGGGGGAGGGGGAGCTCAGTGTAGAGTGCCCTGAGTTGAATCGTCAGTACTACCAAAAAAAGTTAAAAATGGTGCCCAGAGCTGGCCTTGGTGGTGCACACCTGCAATCCCAGCAGTCTAGGAGCCTAGGCAGTTCAGTAACCTAGCTAGATCCTGTATCAAAAACAAAGGGCTAGACATGTAGCTCAGAGTTCACTCTCTAGTACCAAGGGGGAAAATATTCATGAGTGTCTTTACAAGGTGTGATCAAAATACAGTGAATGCTGCTGCCAAATGCCACCCAATAGAAAGGCAGGCTTGTGTGTTATGTCTTTATCCACCTTATTCACTGGATGGATTTGGTACCGTATGACTTCTGCCTCTTCCTCAAAGTCAAAATGGCCAAGAAAAATGAATATTTTGAATTGATTCAGGACATTCATGCTGTATAATTAAAATCACTCATGTAAGAGAACTTCCAGAACTGCTTCAGAAAGTGGCAAGAATAGTTGGATAAGGGTGTTTGAAGTGACGGGCAGTGTTTTGAAGAGGATTAAAGGGAATGTGTCTTTTATTGTAATAAATATTTTAAAATTTAAATATTCACTATATGTTTTGATTACACCTCATGTATATGCAGGGGTTGAAAGCTACAACAGAAAAATTTTTCAAGGAGGAATACAAACAATATCAATTCAAAGAGGAAGGGGAGAGAATTTCAGGAACGTTGTGAAATCAAATTTGAAACTAGACCAAGGAGAATGAGAACTGTGTTATTTCATTCATAATTCCATTGGGTGGATTTTGTTGTTGTTGTTGCTGTTGCCAGAGATTGAACTTGGGACCTTGCACTTGCAAGACGGGCGGCGGGACCACTGAGCTAAATCCCCGGCCCCTGTTGTGTGAATTTGTATAAAACATGGCAGATGTCTTTGAAATATCAAAATTTATACGCTCTAAACCTTTTCAAATTCTAATTTTGTGAGAACTCAGATTCTTTATTAAATTATCATTTGAATTATTTTTCCATTTCTCTCTTAGATGGCTGGCATGGAAGTTGGGAAAAAGATTTTTGCCATTAATGGTGACCTAGTTTTTATGAGACCTTTCAATGAAGTGGATTGCTTCCTGAAATCATGCTTAAACAGCAGAAAGCCTCTAAGAGTTCTCGTGAGCACAAAGCCAAGGGAGTAAGTTGTATGGCTTTTATGGGATTTTTTTTTTTAAAGTTACACATGGGTGAATAAAATAGAAAAGTTAATGAAGGTAACATTGAAACTGCATCAGCATTACAAATACTGGTCTTTAGGTGATAGCAAAAACTCCATCCCTTATAGTGATTAAGTGTTTACTGCTTGAATCCCATAGTTTCAGTAGAAATAATGCTCTCCTTTGCTACCCAATTATTCCTGTTCTGTGTTGGGTTTGACTGTCTGTGAGAAAACTAGTAGAACAATTGAGAATAAAGAACTTCATGTTGAGCTGTAAGAATTTCTGATACTAAAAGTTGACTGGGCACAATTTATAATTAGTTCCAAATTTGAAAAACATTGCTTATATACACAACCATATACATACAAATTGGGACCGTGCTCTTTGTGTTTTCTGTTTTATTTTCTAGTTGGAAATATGTTATACTTGCAATTCAGTGGCTTTTCTTCTACAAATCTTTTTCATCACTGCTCTTATATTCCTCTATCAGATTTGTCGTGGGTTATTTCACCCATTAATTGAGATGGTACACATAAAGTTCTTAATGGACTGTCTTAAGGTACAATGATTACATCAGAATTGCTATTTAAATTTACCTATATCATTTATCAATAGTAATAAGACTCTTAGTTTTAAGATAATTGAAGGTTGAAAGTTAGCAGTTCAAAACAAAAAGATTAACAACTTAAGAAAATATTGTAAATATATATCAAATATAATATATATATGTAGTATCTTTCCTTACCTTAACAGTGTACTTTGATGTGTAAAAAGCTGTATAGATATGTGTATTCAGGAATGGCTGTGTGCACTGTGAGTGATTTCTGTTGAGTCAAAGTGCCTGTGTTCTCCCTTGTAAGTCTCTTCACAGCACAGTTAAGTCATTAAGGTGGATGGATGCTTGAGCTCCTACCAGTAACTTACCAAGAGGCCTGAAAAAGTATGACTCATTCATTAATCACTAATTTAGGAAGACTTGGCTAGAGTGCAGTGAAGCATCGCAACATAGTCTTCCCACCAAACCTCATTAGGATCCATTCCTCTTCTTTTAACTAACCCTGCCTGGGACAATGCGTTCCTGGTTGCCTATCTCCTGACACTCTGAGGACAGATAAAAGGGGGAGAGGACAGACTGGAAAGGAATAAGAGAGTCATATTCTAGAGCAAACATCAGTAAATAAAAAGGCCCTCCCAGTGGGCCCCTAGTTTACCTTGAAACTACTAGTCCAATGACGTGGACATTCCAACAGTCAGAAGACTGAGACCAACAACTTCAAAGCTAAATTATAGGAGCAAATGCTCAATCCTGGAATTAGTGTCTGATGAACAGAGTTGAGACCTGTGTCTTCTGACCCTTCCTCGGTGTTCGCTGCAGTGTCAGGAAGCTGAGTCAGGCCTCTCCCCTCCAGTTGCCACCGAAGTATGTCACTTCACATCCTCACCTCTAAAATGAGTATAAGATGCCTGTGTTATGGAGCTGCCAAGATGCTAGGTAAAGGCAAGATTTGTAAAGAACTTAGTGAAGTGTTCATCATATAATAAGCCATCTAATGACATCATACGTAGTGCTCTTTTCTTGATTTTTTTCCATTGCTTTATTATATCAAGAACGTATTTTCCATGTATTTAAAAACTTTTACTCAATTTTTCTTTTTTTTGAAATTTATAACTTTTCTTGTGTGTCCTTCCTCTCTTACGAGTTATATTTTACCTATTTATGACTTGTTAAATATATTTTTTTAAATATTGTACTACATACTTTAACATTTCTATTTGAAAAATAACATTCAAATTATGTAAATTGTTAGTTTCCTCTTCATTACAAGTTTCTAGTATATAAAAGTTTAAAGTTTAGTTGACAGCTTTTACACATTAAAAATATTTATACAGATTTATTTTATTCTCAGTGTTTAACGAGGTGTCCGTGTTTGATAAGGCATTCTCAATTTTTGTAGTTTCTTTTCATGATTTCCTTTGATTTTTCTGTACATTAACATGAGCGTAAAAGGTGATAACACAGGTTTCTATCCTGTGTAAATTTGCTGATATCATAGCACAGATAAAGTGAAGTAGCTACAATGGGCTGTTTGTATCTTGGTGCAAACAGATCATATATAATAGCTTAGCAGAGTAAGTATTTATTTCTCAATCATGTAAAGTGCAAATGGAGGGGTTTGGATAGAGATGGGAAGAAAACTGTTCCCTCCAGTCAATTAGTTTTGTCTTAAATCACAATGATATTCTTCTATCTGTGATTCCTAAGGCTATCTTGCGGGGGAATCTGCCCTTCAGGCCTGGGGACGTTATACCTCAGGAAGAACTGCATGGAAGCTTTTCAGTGGGTCATCATATTTTCTTAAATATCTTCTTGTAATTTAAATAGTATTATTCTTGGAAGGAAAAGGAAAAAATATAAGAAGTAAATACAACAAAATTATATTTTGTATTTTACATTTAAAAACATCAAGGCATTTTTCAAAATCCTTTGTAGCACATAATTCTGCATACTTATTTTCTACAGGAAGTAGAACATTCTCCTGTAAATTTAATTCTTCTGTTACTAGGCAATATAGTATTCCGAACAGGCAGACATTTTCCCCAGAAACCATCTTATTAGGGGAGATCCAACATTTTTCACACAAATGGATCTCATGGTGTTTTAAATTTTTTTGTGAAGAAAAATATAGCAATCTTCTTGAAGATAAGAGCAGGTTCAACTGCGCACAGTACTATTAGTAAAATAGAAGGACCTTACTCAGAAAAGGTTGAAAGGCCATGATGAATTATGCATAATCTGAAAGCAATAGTAATTCACCATACTTGAAAGCTTTAAATTATTTCAGCAAAAGTGAACTCTCTTTCATAATGTAAAGAAGCATGAACTACCTGTTTCTGTTTCATGCGCACCAACATATGTATTTATTCTGTTTTCCTTCATTTTCAGTGAAATGAAAATTCACTCTATATCTTTGACAGACACTAATAACTGTGTGCTTGCAAACCCCTCTGGGGCCATTGGTCAAGCTGCCTGGCTTCCCTGGCTCTGCTCTTGGGTATGTGGAGGCTTGCAGCCTCTGTGTAGGCCCTGCTGTGGCCTGGGTCATCCAGGCCCTCTCCACCCCAGATAGCAGCAGGGTGCCCTGGCCTGAACAGAAAAGGCAGAGAGGGCTTATACAGAGGCTTTGTAAAACCAGAGGCTGTTTCTATCTTTGTCTAATGTTATTCCAACTCAGGCTGAGTAATAAACATCACTGGAACTAGCTTTTGGGACGGCGGGGGGGGGGGATAACTGTGTGCTATTCAAAGGAAATGGATAAAGCGCTATACATCAAAAAGTATTTAATTAAGAGTGGAGCATGTATTGATTCGTCGAACTCTGTCTCACAAATATGCAGATTGCTTCCTAGTGTGTAACCTGATTTATACTAATGCTTTCACATTTCCCTAGAGCAGAAAATTTGCATTTTTATCACACAGTGTCTGTCTAGCATATATTTGAGGTTGCAGTGCCAGCCTCTGCCTGTAGGATTAAAGGCAGTCATTGGCTTCCTCAAGTGTTCTAAGCCATAGTTCTGCTCAGACCCCCCCACCCCAGACTCTATCCAACTTTCTCTTGAAGGCCTGCCAGTGTTTATTTCATAATTAATTCAATTTTTAGAAAACACTGTTGTTTCTGGGGCATAAAGCACTATCCATCAAATTTTATCATGTTAATTTATTTGGTTTTGCTCTCTACTGAAATTTATTGTACTCCATTTTATTGTTATGATGTTCCATCTTATCTAGCATTTTCTGATTTTCATTGTTGCTATCTGACTTCTGGCTTCCTTATCCAGAGTGTCTCATTTATTAGTGACAGAATGAAGACCCTCACACTCTTTGCAGTGTGGACCGGTTGGAAATATTCCTTTTCTTATTCAAGTTTACTCTTTGATGTGCTGTTCTTTTAAAATCCCTATGTAAATGCTGAAGTTAATCATATTCCTGAATTGTTTTGATGTAGTGTTTGACAACTCTGTTTTTTATAACTAGTTCTTTGCTGGTGTTCTGTGATGACAATCCCAACAGGTAGTGATGTATTAACTTTGGGTTTATTTCATATTAAACTTTATAAATTTTTTGTAAGATACTCATTTTTTTTTTAACTTAAATTCTTTTATTGGTACATTGTAGGTATACAACACAATTACATTTCTCATTGGGAATTGTACCTTTACATAATGGATCTTGGTTCTCATTGTTTCCCCATTCCTAGCCCTCCCTTCACCCCCTCCACCCTTCCCTATTTACAAAGATTTTATTTCCATTTTTTCCATTTCTCATCATTTTTCCTTTCCCTTCTTTCCTTTCCCCTGCCCCTCCCACTACCCCTATCCCTTTGGACCTTTT